GCTGGAGTGCAGTATTGCTTAGTGCGTTCTTTGTTCTGCTTGATGTCTGGATTATAAGAAAATGTTTGTTGAGCTAAAGCTCTGTTATACATGGAAGGGATACTTCAAAGTTATTCTCTATTGACACTGGGTACTGTGCTATACTGCAAGGTCTTAGTTATGTTTTGTGCTTAGTGCATTCTTTGTTCTGCTTGATGATTATAAGAAAATGTTTGTTGAGCTAAAGCTCTGTTATACATGGAAGGGATACTTCAAAGTTATTCTCTATTGACACTGGGTACTGTGCTATACTGCAAGGTCTTAGTTATGTTTTGTTTAGGGTTACTAAACCACTTTGATGATCTTCACCTACCTCTTTTTCACACAATTCTTTATTCAATTCATCCACTTAAAATTTTTTATTCTTCTCGTCAGGCTCTCAGGTAGTCCCTAATTCTTTCAAGGACCTCCCCCCTCCTGTGACAAAGCCTGTTTTCAGCTCTTCAGCTCCTGTTTCTGCCACATTTGATACAAACCCTTTCTTTAAATGTTTGTAAGTTTCTAGGCTAGAGCTTCAAACACTTGCTGAGTGGGTCTGAGTTTGTAGTGAGAATACAGCAGAGAACTACCACATTGTGTTTGGGTTTTTTTCCTCTTATTTTATAGGGCAATTTAATTGCAGCTTGATTATATTGTTCCCACCTCGAAGGAAACAATATAGACAGTCAAGCCGTGAACAACGTTTTATTATAATAAACCTCTGCTTTTGTCTTAGAGCTGTTTGTAACAGAATATTTCTCCAACTAGAAGCTATAGAAATTCAATATACTATTTATAATGTATTGATTGCACCTCCTTCTGTAGTTGCTGTTAAGCAATTTGCTATACATACTGCCCCTCCTTTCAGCAGTACTCTATATTTAACCCACATGCCGAGGTCTTGTTTCTATGAATTCCGCACTGGCTGTAGCGTGCCACGTCTGAGCTGAAAAAAGAACTAAATCCCTTGGGCCAAATTCATTCCAGGAGTTGCTTGATTGAACACAGTGCATTTACACTGAGCACAGTTTTGGCTCATACCTGACTTTGTCAGCATTCACTGTGCTGTAACCAAGTAACAAGAACACTGTCATTAGGGGACAGATGAATAGCTTTCTCTAAGGTTATTAGAGCACTGAGCACCTTTAAGGAGTGCAGAAATCTGTGAAAGGAGGAGTTGTGGAAAAGGACACCGCTCCTTTTAGAGTCTGTGTAACAGAACTGATAAGCTATTCCTGTGATGTGATCAAATGTGACTGAATACTGCAGGCTCGTGGACTCTTATTCTATAAAATCCACATCAGAGCAGCACAGGAAAAGATCGGAGGGAACAGCTTCTGCTGTACTGAGAAAGGTACATATTTATATTTTTTATTTCTCAGACCTGACATGATTTGTTATCTTAGATAATGTCACTATTTTAAACAGTGGTGAATATGAAAGAAGTGGTGTTTTCCACATTCTGACTGATACTCATTGTCAGGAAGCCAGTCGGTGGGCAGCAGCAGCTTTCAGAGAAAGAGTAGGACATATTTGTGTGTAATGCATTTGTACTGTATTGTAAACCTTGACAGTTGAAAGAAGTGAGATGAGATAACCCCGACTAAATTGGAAATGTAATTTACGGCTATAAGCATGCTGGAATTTGGTACTCATTTGTATTCAGGAAAAAGCTGAATACAAGTCAAGCTTCAGTTCAGTCCTATTTGACTGAATAGCTGCTTTTATAAATATGTTGCCGCAGCTGTATTTTATGAGGGTTTTCATTCTCAAGAGGGAGTTCTGCCACAGCAAAATGTCTATGAAGAACAGACAAAAAGCTAGTACTTTAGCTTGCTAGTCCTGTTGCTGCTTATAGAGTATCTTTCTGATGCCTTTTACAGACGTTCTTTACCTTCTGTCCTTTAAAAACAAAATCATATTTACCAATACTGTCAACCACATGTCATACCGATGATCTCCATAAACAACTTTCACTTCATCTCTGCATTTAACCTTACTTTTTTTCTGCTTACTCAGCCATGGACTCCTAACAAAGCCCTCAAGTTCAGAATCTCATGCATTTGCACAACATTGCAGTATTTAAATGCAAAAGAAAAATTTCCTGATTTACAGCTTTAGTTTGCATTAGTGGGAAAAGAGTTTAACCACATTAACACTGCAATTTACTTGTTACACAAGTTTAGCACTATTTCTTAGCAGCCTGCAGCTGGTATCAGGTTTATCTTTGCCAGCCCCACACTGTTGTCTTTCAGCATTCCTTCAGGATCACTGGAATTGGAACTGACTGGGAATTTTCTGAAAAAACATAATTTTGGCAGCAGTAGTTGAAACCAGATCTTAATGTGTGAGGCCATCCATACCAGTTTTGCTAAAACTCTCTCATGAGACGTTTCTCAGAAAGCAATTTCTAGCTAAAGTAAGAGACACTATGCCAACTCCAGCTACTTTTCTGGGGAGGGCATTCACTCAGGATTTGAGACTAAGGTCTTATGCCTGCTCTGTCTCAGTTAGGCTGCCACTTCCCATGCAGTGCTTCGGTTACCTGCTGTGCGGTGGTGGATCCCATCTTGCCTGGCCATTTAGAGCTGCTCATTTCTATAGAAATGAGCCATCATTTCTGCAGGGATTTCCTTCTTATTCTTTCAGATCCTTACTACCACGTTTCAGCCATGCACTCCCCCTGGCCTAAAGAGCAGCTTGTGGAGAGCAGAAAGCTGTGCTGGGAGAGAGACAGATTTACACTAGATTAGCTGGTAGCTTTGGAAGCAGGGCAGGAGCACGCAGTGGGGATTTGGGACACTGAGGATTCAGCTCTTGATCTTTGTGAGATAGAGAATGTGAAATAGGTCTGTCACAGGTGATTATGTTGACAACAACTAGTCATTTTCGTCTTTCCTCTTCCAGCCCTTTTCTCCCTACCTGCATTTGTGGCAAAATCATTCTCTAGGAGCTTGTTTTACCCCCTGGGGAACATGAAAATCTCACCTGAGAAAACTTTTTATGGACTAGGTCCTAGTATACTGACAGGGCAGAGCACCTTCTACTTTTATCAGTCCACTGCCCCCTAGGTGGGATTTGTACAGTTCAGCTGAGCTATGCCAACCACTGTCCTCAAACACTAGTACAAATAGTACAAATGCATCTAGAGTTCTGGAGTGGGAATAAGGGTTGTTAGAGACAAATGCTTCCTAGGAGTACCTGAACAGATCTTATTTCTGAAAAGCTGTCTTTGCTCAAGATCCAGTGAAGTGCATTTCTTATCCTTGAAGAATTCTCTCCCCCCAGACTCTGGCTTGAATGGTGCAGTGTGTTCACTAGGCCAGTCTGGATCAGAACACTAGCAATCCAGGCGGATCTGCTTGTGTTACAGGTTATGAGGCCTCTCAGCGTGGCCAGTTTATTCTAAACTTCGTATTCTTTAGGTGGCACATAACTGTTATATAAAACTTTCCTTTGGGTGACAGCACCAAATACCACTTAGACTATGGCTACTGTGCATGGAGTTTTCAGTGAGCAGCAATTATCCTAATTGAAATCTATCTGTTGAGAAGGGATGTAAACACCCTTATGAAGCTTAGTTGATGTGGCTCCCTAGTACTAATAATCACTTTCATGTTCTTTTACTTTCATTCAGTAAGAAAAAAACCTGTTTCTTTTCAACCTGAGAAGAGGAAAAAAGAGAAGACAAAGGCCGGGGTGGGGGGGGGGGGGGGGGAGGAAATAATCAGAACTTCGCATTGATAGAAGTCAGAATTTTTGTAGGCATGGTAGCAAAGCTAAATTGTAGTAATTTGAAAAAAAAAAAAAAACCACAAACCGAGGAAGATGGACATTTAGATTTCATGCAAGAAATAGTTAGTGAAAAACTATGTGAAGTCTGTTCAGCTTGCTTTTATAATGTCAGTAGAAAATCAGAATGGCAAACTCCTAGACTAAGTTTCCATTGAAATACAAGCTATTCACATTTGGCAATATGCTGATCATTCTTCAGTGTTGCACTCATTTGAAAATACATAAACAATGATGAAAGAATAGGAGGTAAAAAAGATGGGTTTTTGACCTTTAAAAGTACTAAAATACGAAGCTGTTGAATTGCGTTGCCTACAGCAACAGGATACAATATGTTTGGCAAAAGTTAGTTTAGTTTTTCTGACCAAACTACTCTGCCTGGGAGAAGATTAAGAAAAGCAAAATGCCACGAAATGGAGATTGCCCCATTCAAGTCAGCATAGGACAAAGAGCCATCAACTCTATTCATGGCACAGCAACGATCTCCTCTGGCCTAGTGCAGAGCAACAGACATTGTTAAAACGTGTAGAAATGTGCTGACTCTTCTGCATTGTTTTAGCTTCTTAAACAGCTTATATACCCTTACTAATATGCAAATCCTCTGCATACTTTAGTGCTTGAGATACTTAAAGGCATAATTTCAGCAGAAGCTTTTGTAGAGTTTGAACTCAAACCTTTTAACGCTTTTCTAAAAATGTGGGGTACACCTCCCTCCTTCAAACAGGTACAGAGTGTACAGGAGGGCTTGATGTGTTAATTTGTAAAGACTTTGTAAAAAACCTCTAGAAGATGATTTGCATTATTACATTCTTCTCTCCGCAGACTTAGCAGCAGTGTCTCTGCAATGACTTAGGCCCTGTTGTCCCCAGGCACTCTACTATTGTAGACCATTTCAATTACCCTCAATACCATCAGTGGGATGGAGAGATCCTTTTGTGAAAAAAGGTTGAATGGTATAAGTTTACCAAGCACTCCCCATTCACCAGGTTATGTGAGCTAATAAAGCTTGAATTACATTCTAAACCCTTCAGCATCAGAATGCTGAAGTGCTGTCTGGATGCTTGGAGACTTGTAATAAACTCTTAAACAACAAACCAGTACTTGGCAGTTAGATTAAATTCATGAAAAATTATACCACGATTGGTGTAACATCATCTTTCCTCAAAGGCCTGATTTGTCAGCAAGCTGAAATCACTTAAGGAAAGTGTTTGAAGCACTGTCTGTCTCCACATTTTCCCCGTTGTTTATAAACTTAAGAATAATAACGTTACATAAGCATTTGCTGTCTTGGTATTCCAGAATGGATCTCGTTAGTTAATGCAGATAAAATCACTTTGCCTTTCCTCAGGTGTTATCCATTTATCCATAGCAGGGACTTTTCTAACAAAGATTAATTCAGCTTTACACCACCTTGAAAGTTACAGTAACTTTAGCTTACTCTTGTGACAACAAAAATGTAGATAAGTCAGGTAAGTCAGCTCAGCAAAGATCAGATCAGAAAAAAAATGCCAAAATGAGACTCCAGCTGAAGTCCCCTGACTCAGGATAACAAAGTTTACTCTTATTCCAGTCCTGGAGAATACCAGTCTAATGTACGTACTGTCTTTGTAGAAGAGATTTTTGGTGATTATGTTTAGGACTTCATTTTCAGTACAAAGCAAAGCAATATTAGTTTATCCAAGCTAAAATTGTAATGAGAGGTTTTGAAATTGGGCTTATAAGGATTCACCTTGATTAGAAAAATGTTCTATCCAACGATTTTCAGCCTCACAAGTATTTTAATACCCATCATATCTTATTTTTGCATCTGTAGGAAATGAGGTCTTGTTAATGACTCATAATGTAATGAACTATGCTTCAGAATAGTTAAATAATCAAATTTAATACTTTTTTTAATCCCCTGTGAAACTCACTAAGGCATATGTCCTTATTAAAACTCAGAACGTTCAAAGGTACTTACTTTTAGCATGTATATTTTTCTTCTTTTTTAGCAGAGAGAGGTTGTTTTGGAATCTGAGAAAGAGTAGCAATCAGTAGTTCAGATCAAATCTCCATACACCTTCCTCTAACAGGAAGTTCATACAGCTCTTATGAAACACTGAGAAAAATCTCAATTTGAATTCATCTGGTTACTCAGAATTACCTTAAAAATTGATGTTACCTTATTTTTCACTTCAGGGAATTCTAAGACCAATTATTTCTTAACAGTATTTGGAAAAAGTACCAGAAGGACTGATAAATAGTATTACTGAAAGATTGTTACTGTAACCTTTGGTGAAATGGCTGGAGTCATCTGTACAAGAATAAAGAACATGATGGGTTTTGCTCCATCATGTAGGCATTTTTATGTTCTTAGAAAAACTGGAGATCATATAGTAGTCAGGGGGTAGTGAATCCCCTACCTTAACAACTATTGCCATAATAATAGATCCCTACGTCAGAGCCAGTCTCTTGAGATTACTTTTATAGCCATTGGAATGAATTAGATATTTTATATTTAAGGGCAAGTAAGTTGGGGCAGCAGATTCCCACAATTTGTGTTTGTTTCGCTCTTTGAAAGTG